GGGGTCACTCCTGCCTGACGTGGGGTCACACTCCTGTCCGCCCCCCGCCCGGGGTCACTCCTGCCTGACGTGGGGTCACACTCCTGTCCGTGAGTGACGTGGGGTCACTCCTGCCTGACGTGGGGTCACACCCCTGTCCGACCCGGCCTGGGGTCACTCCTGCCTGACGCGGGGTCACTCTCCCGGTGCCCTCGGCAGACACAGCTCTGGCCGACAGCACGCCGTGCCTGCAGGCGCAGTGCCAGGCTCGGCCACTGGGGCGGCGCTGCTGTGGACAGGCGGCGAGACTCACGTTGACCCGCGTGATGGACGCTGTGGAGGTCAGCTTGCGGCGAGACTTCTTCATCTTCCCCACCTCGTAATCTTCGTCAAACAGATACTGAAAGAGCAGGGGGGGGCAGAGTCCATCAGGCTGCTGCCCCTCCTGTGCCACTCCCACCCTGTCCCAGCCTGGACGCAAACTTTAACCTTTAACCCTTCAACCCCCCACCCCCAGGTACAGGGTCATCGCCGCCCTACTGTTGGGACCCACACCCCCTGTGCCCCAGACTGCCTCCTGTACCCCCAAACCACCCCCTTGCCCTAAACAAGTCTCCTGTGTTTCTATACTGACAGTGCTTTCTGTACCCCAATACTACACCCCGCCTGCTGTACCCCAATACTGTCTCATCATCTATTACAGCCTGACCTGGCCAGACACGGGGTCCCCTCTACCCTGCTGTTGGGACCCACACCCAAACCCCTTTCTGCTCCCGCGCCCCAGACTGTCTCCTGCCGCTGCCCTCTGCCCAGATATGGGCTCCTGTGAGCTGCACCCCGATACCGCCCCCCGCGGAGCCCCACCTGGCCGTGCGCGGGGTCGTCGCTGCCCTCCTGCTCGGAGGAGAAGCTCTCCTCTTCGTCTTCCGAGTAGTTGTCGATGTCCGGAGAGCGGTCTGCTGGCGGGGGGGAGAGAGGGAGGGAGGACAGGGTGAGGCTCTGACCCCAGCCGGCAGCGGGAGGCTGCACTCCCTGGGCCAGCCACAGGGGCGGCGCCGCGGCGCAGCAGGGCGACTCACCGGACAGCTTGGCCTTGGGCCCCTCGTGGTCGATGGGCTGGCTGGACAGGGAGTAGATGCGGATCTCGGCCACCGGCACGGCCGCGTCCTTCACGTTGCTGTGGAGACCCAGCACCTGCGCCCCCTCGCTGGGGTGCTGCATCACCTGGGCAGGACACGGATAGAGACCCGGCTGAAGCAGGCTGAAGCGGGCCGGACCGGGCCGGACCAGGACGTTCAAGGGCTCATGGGATGAGCTTGTAGCTTAGTAGGGGATACTGACCCTACGAGGGAGACACACGCACAAGGGGGGCGCCCACGCGCACATGCACACAGGGGGCGCACACGCACACAGGAGACACCCTGCCCAGGACTCCCACTGACCTCCGCCATGTTGATGAGCCCCAGGGCCAGCGTCTTGTAGCCCAGGATGGTGCGGTTCTTGTACCTCTTGCGGCGCTGCAGCATGATCTGCAGCTTGTTGGCGTCTCTCTTCAGGAAGTGGGGGTACTGCAAGGCATGCAGGGAAGACACGTCTCTCGTCACCGGGGTCAGAGGGCAGATTTAACCCTTCCCACGCCGGCTCAGCTCTCATGAAGCAGCCCTGCAGGACTGGGGCTCTACAAAAAGGGGGGTGCAGGCTGCAGGACTGGGGCTCTACAGAAAGGGGGGTGCAGGCTGC